ACGTTTAGATTGAATGGTAATTTATAATCAGTCACAAGAACGTCGAATCCAAATCACATGAAAAAACACGGGGGTGCTTAACTTTTTTCCAGGTGTATATTTCACACAAGTCAAAAGGTGCTTGTAATTTCAATTAATTGATTAGTTTATATTACACTAACTTATAAAATTGCTGCCATAAGTAATCAATTAAATTGCCCAGCTCTAATCTAGTTTTCAAGTGCCTTGATAGGTAAAGTCTAAATACCCCACTGGTAATGATGACCTATACTAAAAAAAGTATTTTATTATTAAAGTTACAGTTTATTTTCCAATAGCTGGCAAAACATTAGAAGCCAATCAGGCCTAACACTTGTGTTAATCATGAACATATCAAGAGAAATGTAGAAAACAAAATAAACGTGCAGCTTACATGAATTTGTACTTTATTATCATCTCCAATCAGCAGCCACTTGGGCACAATATCTCTAACTGTGCTTCCAGCAAAATTGTACTGAATAGTTTGAATAGTAGGAGTCTAGCCACATGGCTCATGTATTAATTGGATTAGGAACCAATGAAATGACTTGTAACTGTGGTCTTTCTATCTCCATTTCTTCCTGCTTAGCCTGGGTATGCCATGCAGCTCAGATAGGGATTGCAAAACTGGCATGGTACTGGAAAGTGAAACTATCTTGTTTTTGGCAGTTATAATAACTGTTGTAGTAATGTTTAATTTTATTATGTCCTCGGCTTAGATTCACATCCAAGGACTCTCAAATTCCAGGTGAGTGCTCTGTTAACAGAACTAAAGGGCTAACCTCGTAGCAGTTACTAGTAAGACACTTTGTAACAATGCATACTATCACATACTACACCTGTAACAAACAAGGTCCCATGTTAGGTATGTTTTTCTTGTAATTTCACCCTGTGCATTTCTGCAGTGTGTGTGATTTGAACTCAGGACAGCTCTCATGCAAGGCAAGTGCTCTACCATCTGAGCTAAGGGGTTACTCTACTAACTAGCACTGCTAGTAAGACACATTTAACAACCCCAACTACCCCACTTTTTTCTAAATATTTTGCACTATAAATGACTGAAATGCATGTATCATGGGTGTATTGATACTGAACAAAAACAAAAAAATCTGTAAATCTTCCTTTTGAAGTGTGTACTAGCAATTGTTTCTAGTACCTTCAAAATTTTACTAGCTAAACTACAAATTTAACCACCAATATGCTAGTTTGCTTAAGTTAACTTGCAGCCCTGAGTAATTAAAACTTGAGTGACCTAAATAAAAAAGCTATTAATATGAAACTTTATATGATAATTAATATTTATGATGATTATTTTTATTGATAAAGAAGAAATGTTAATTCATTTTCAAACCTATGTCACATTGTGTCCTATAGATAACTGAGACAGTAATATTGTTAAAAAGTTACAGCAAGGTAGATTCTGGTCATAGTAATTCACACATATTTATGCAAATTTTACATTTTAACACAGAGCTCATTTTGTACTGTTATGAAAGGAATTTTTGTGTTTTATTTATATTCAGCAGTTTTGAACCTTAATTTATTAGTTTTTTGATTTACACTATTTTACATAACTTGATATTTTTAGTGTCAAATCACATACTTGTACAACTTTATTTTTTGAAAATGCTTTCATTGTACATGAACACATAAGCAGTTAATAAGCTGTATGACAAGTCATTTCTGAATAGTATTTGTTTGTACATGCACTTTGACATTATGTTTTTCTTTTCAATATTATTTATTTGTTGCTATGGCAATGAGAGGTTGTGTAAATGACCCAAACATATTCTTTTATAATATTTGTTGTAAAGAAACAAAGGCAGAACATTACACAGAATTTGTCAAACAAGCGTGTTACACATATTTTGGAATAAAATTTCGGGACAAATACAACTCATTGGCTCTGCACAAAATTTGCACTGTTTGTGCCTTTTTGAATTCCAGTGGTCTGGCGTGAGCCTAGAAACCATGGAGATGACTGCTATTTTTGCTCATGTAACATGCAAGGCTACAACACTCGAAACAAAAAAGGAAATTTCTTATCCAAACCTTCAGTCTGCTGTAAGTCCTGTTTCTCATGGACCTGATGTACCTACTTACTGGAGACTCTTGATACAGTTTCATCTGAATCTGATATCAGTAGAAATGATGATATGGATTGTTTTCAACCTGAAATGTCTGGTCAACCACAACTTTTCACACAAGGTGAACTTAATGACTTAGTGAGAGATTTGGACTTTCCAAAGAATTCTTTAGAGATTTCGGGGTCCAGACTTTGAACTAAGAACTTACTTTCTCCAGGGACATCATTTTACTGGTACAGAAATCATGAGAAAAAGTTTATATCATACTTTTCACAAGAAGGTTTACTGGTTTATTACAACAATATTAATACCAATGCTAGGAGCTACAGTCTCTGAACCAAGTGAATGGTGATTGTTCATTGATTCCTCCAAAAGAAGTCTAAAAGGTGTTCTCCTTCACAATGGTAACATGTATGCATCTGTTGCTATTGCTCATTCAGTTCACTTGAAGGAAACATACTAAAATCTCAAACTTCTTTTTAATAAGGTCAGATACAAAGAATATGGTTGTCTACTTTGTGGAGACTTAAAAGTTCTTTCTGTGTTGTTGGGTCAATAGTCTAGTTATACAAAGTTTCCATGTTTTTTTGTGTGAATGTAATAGCAGAGCGCGAAATCAGCACTGGATAAAGAAGCAATGGTCACGCAGAGTCAGCCTGATATCTGGATCGAGAAACATTGAACGTGAAAGTTTGGTTGACACAAATAAAGTTCTTTTACCTCCACTTCGCATAAAACTGGGCTTGATGAAACAGCTTGTAAAGGCTTTAGACAAAGATGGTGACTGTTTCTAGTATCTATGTGGGCAATTCTCAGCTCTTTCAGAAGCGAAACTTAAAGAAGAGATTTTTTTGGGGGCCTCAGATTAGGAAATTGACTTCGAATGAACAGTTCGAAAGGACAATGAGGAAAGTTGAAAAAGAAGTGTGAATTGCCTTTAAATATGTTATTGACAAATATTTAGGAAACAACAAGGACCCAAGTTATGAAAACATTGTCAATAACATGCTCGATAAATTTAAAGAGTTGGGTTGTAATATGAGCTTGAAAGTTCATTTCTTATACTCACATATTACTATTTCCCTGAAATTCTTGGTGCTGTCAGTGAAGAACAAGGGGAAAGGTTTCATCAAGACATCAGGGAAATGTAGAAGAGATTTCAGGGAAGGTGGAACACCAGCATGATGGTTGATTACTGCTGGTCATTGAAATGAGATGCTCCTGACACAATACATAAAAGAATGACCACAGCACATAGTTTTGAGACTAAAAGATGTAGACTTCACAAAAAAATCAAGATGAATGAGGATGCATATTCGTTTGACATCAAAGAAAAATACAAACAAACTGAAGAAAAGGGAAGAACAGTTAACAAACATAATAATAAAAAATGTTCATTGTGGTAAACGAAATAATAATTTGATCTAAGTAGAAGTATTTTTTCTTCCTGATTTGTAAAAACTCCTTATGTAATAGAAAAAAAATGAATATTATTTTTGAAATCTGCATAGCTGAATTATGGAAAATCCTTTATTAGAACCAAAACAACTTTTATGAAGTTTAAATTTGCAGGCCTGTGTTATAAAACTTTTGGTATTTTTAAATATTGTACATCATGACTGAGTAACACTTTTTTTATTTCAAACATTCTTTGTAAACAGGCTATAAACTAGGCTGTTACTATGGTTGATTAAGGTAGTGAACCTTGTCCTCATCTAGATTTTGTTGTTTTGTCTAAATTATCAACATAAACATGAAAATGATATTGAATCTATGTGAATATCTTCATTATGCCAAAAACATTGCTAATGGTGAGGTTATTCATCTAATGAAACAATGCATTCTAATTAAAAATAACAATATGGAACAGAATGTAAAATTTAGTTATAATCATTTCTGAGTTGGTTTATGGTTCTGACCTGCATTGGTAGCTTGCTTTTATTAGAAGTTAATATTAACTCATTAATGTTTTGTTTACTTATTAAGCTATTATTTTATTCAGATAATTTTCTAATTAGTGTTATTTGAAGTATTTTTCAAGTTGTACTATTTCTTTGTATTGTTGTGGCATACTGCATAAAAACTCATAATTCAGTGATATTATGAGTTTTTTCTCTCTCTCACACGTGCATCACACACATACACAGTAAAGTCCTTTGTTGATAAACCTTCTGGGTAAAATAATATATGTTTTATGTTTTCCTGAAATAAGATTATTACTCTATACAATTATATATATATTTATTATTTAATTAAAAGAGGGGTCTAAGTCATTTTCTTTTGAATTTCAGGCACCTTTGTTAAATAGTACTGGACATGCTGATTCTCCTGCTACTATATACATTACCAAAAAAGTTAAGGCTCGTATAGCTCTAACCCGAAAAGGTAGAAAGACGCCATACAAAAATATCATCAAGCAGATGAAAATAGGATCCAAAAAATCAGAGACTCCAGAAACTAGTTTCACAGGAGTAGAGTCTTTGTTGAAAACACCAAAGCCATTTTCTAGAAGAAAAAGCTTGAATAAGTTCCAAAATGTGAATTCTAACATGTTCTCCAGTTTATCACCTGATAAACTACCAAATGTTTCAGATGATCTATCTGTTTTGCACAAGGGTAAGACAAACCAGTCTTGTTTGATGTCAGATTTCTTAAATGACAATTCGCTTGTAAAGTCAGATGTTGAAATTCCCCTCAAATCTAATTCTAGGACTAAAAAATTAACTCCAAAACAAGGTAAAGAAAAAGAAGAAATGTCTGTAAGAGATATTCTGGAATATACTAATGTTACAGTTAATGAGAATGACAAACTGAAATCTGATGGAAAAACAGTAGTAAAAAAATTTGTTGAAACTCCTCAGAGAACTCCACCAGCATGTTACATTAATGGTGAAGGTATAAAAGAAATTGTACATACTTCAAGTACTCTTCCTAATGTTGATTATAGAACTGTAAAGGGAGCTAAGAGACTGGCTCAAATACCAAAATCTGCTCCAAGAGCTTTAAAAAGACTGGTAAATACTCCTCAAGCTGATTATAGAAATGTGGAAGGCATTAAAAGACTGTTCAAAACATCAAGATCTGGCCCAAAACCTTTAAAAAGGCTAGTACATACTCCTCAAGCTGATTATAGAAATGTGAAAGGCATTAAAAGACTGGTCAAAACACCAAAATCTAACCATAAAGCTTTAAAAAATCTTATTAATACACCCCAAGCTGATTATAGAAATGTGGAAGGCATTAAAAGACTGGTCAAAACACCAAGATCAGAACCAAAAGCTTTAAAAAGATTGGTAAATACACCTCAAGCTGATTACAGAAATGTAGAGGGCATTAAAAGACTTGTTAGAACACCCTCAGACACTCCAAAAGCTGACTACTCAAACACTGAAGGTATTAAAAGATTACTTCGTAATCCTGAAAAGGTTCCTCAGTCAGACTATACTGATGTTGAAGGTGTCAGAGAATTAATGAAACAAAGAAATGGAACCCCAAGAAATATTCAGCATTTAAAACAAGTGAAGACACCAAATAGATCTCCAAGAGCCAGTTTCTCCAATTTATCTGGCATTCATTCTCTGTTTAAAATGCCAGAAACACTTCCAGAGCCAGATTTTACTGGATTGGCAGAGATTTTTGTCACTCCAGAAATTTCAAAGCAATCTCAGACACCAGCATCAAAAAAAACTAAAAGGACAAAAATAAGGCACACACCATCAGCAGATGTTATTTTGCCATCAGTGCTCAAGCAAAAAGTGATAACAACCATTAATGATGCAGCAATGAAAGAAACAGAAAAGAATGAGACATCTCATTATTTAACCACTCGTAGCACAAGGAGAGGAGAGGCAGAAATTATTTCTGTGAAGAATAAAAATCAATTGGAAACTATAGGAAACAGAATATCTTCTGGAATGATTGATAATGAGGAGCAACCTAAGGCTATAGAAACTCCAGGCATAAATCTTTCTAGTACACCCAAGGGAAGAAGGGGTCAGAAAGAACAAACAACCCAGGATCAGAGTGGAAACCTTGTACTGTCTGCTACAAATGTTTCTAGTACACCCAAGGGAAGAAGGGGTCGAAAACCACAACAAAATCAAGATCAGAGTGAAGCTTTCTTCCTGTCTATTACAGATGATAAAATTAAGCAGACAGATACCTCAGAAACAAACATGTCTAATACACCCAAGGGAAGAAGGGGTCGTAAACCACAACAAAATCAAGAGCAGAGTGAAGCTTTCTTCCTGTCTATTACAGATAATAAAATTAAGCAGACAGATACCACAGAAACAAACATGTCTAATACACCTAAGAGAAGAAGGGGTCGTAAACCACAACAAAATCAAGATCAGAGTGAAACTTTCTTCCTGTCTGCTATAGATGATAAAATTAAGCAGACAGATACCACAGAAACAAACATGTCTAATACATCCAAGGGAAGAAGGGGTCGTAAACCACAACAAAATCAGGATCAGAGTGAAACTTTCTTGCTGTCTACTACAGATGATAAAATTAAGCAGACAGGTGCTCTAGAAACAAATATTTCTAATACACCCAAGGGAAGAAGGAGTCGGAAGAAACTACTAAACCAGGATCAGAGTGAAGCTCTTGTACTGTCTGTTTTAGATGATAAAATTAAACAGACAGGCACTTCAGAGACAAACATTTCTAGCACACACAAGAAAAGAAGGGGTCGGAAACCACAACAAGATCAAGATCAGAGTCTCTTGCTGTCTGTTACAGATGATAAAATTAAGCAGACAGATATTATAGAAATGAATATATCTAGCACACCCAAAGGAAGAAGGGGTCAGAAACAACAACTAAGCCAAGATCAGAGTGAAATTCTTGTACTTTCTGTTACAGATGATAAAATTAAGCAAATAAACTCACCAGAAACAAATATTTCTAATACACCCAAGAGAAGAAGAGGTCGGAAACCACAACAAAATCAAAATCAGAGTGAAAACCTATTGTTGTCTGCAACAGATGATAAAATTAAGCAGACAGACAAACTAGAAACAGATATTTCTAGAACACTCAAGGGAAGAAGGGGTCAGAAACAACAACTAAACCAGGATCAGAGTGAAACTCCTATACTCTCTGCTACAGATGAAAAAATTAAGGAAATAAAATCCCCACAAACAAATGTTTCTAACACACCCAAGGGAAGAAGGGGTCGGAAACCAAAACAAAATCGGAATCAGAGTGAAACTCTATTGCCGTATACAACAGATGATAAAATTAAGCAGACAGATATTCTAGAAACAAATGTTTCTAGAATACTCAAAGGAAGAAGGTGTCAGAAACAACAGTTAAACCAGGATCAAAGTGAAACTCCTATACTGTCTGCCACAGATGAAAAAATTAAGCAAATAAACTCTCCAGAAACAAATGTTTCTAACACACCGAAGGGAAGAAGGGGTCGGAAACCACAACAAAATCAGAGTGAAACTTGCTTGCTGGTTGCTACAGATGATAAAATTAAGCAGACAGACACTCTAGAAACAAATGTTTCTAGAGCATTTAAGGGGAGAAGGGGTCAGAAACAACAGCTAAGCCAGAATCACAGTGAAACTCCTGTACTGTCTCCTTCAACTGATAAACCTAGTGTACTAAATGCACCAAATTCAAAAGCTGGTTTTGACAAAACTCCAGAATTCAACATTTACAGCACATCTAAAGTGACAAAGGATCTGAAGAGAAAAAAGGCAGCAAAGGATAAAAGTGAAGTGTCTGTAATGTCAACAACAACTAACATATGTAAAATTTCAGGAATTTCAGACCAAAATGTTTTGAGCACACCTATGAGGAATCAGAATAATATATTTCCACAAAAACAATGTGATGCACTTGTTTCATCTGCTAAAGCTACCAAAATAAAATCTGTTGAAAATACAGACACAGTAATTTCTTCAACACCCATAAAAAGAAAGGGTAGACCAAAGAAAACCCTTAATGAAACCATTTCAGAGAACCATTTCACTGGAACTCTTGTTGTGACCAAAAGATCTAGTCTTTCTCCAGACACAAAAAACATTTCTGGTTCACCCAAAAGAAAGAGGCTTTTGGAAAGTAATATAACTGATGACTTTTCAAAAAAAGACAGTAGCGTGATTTCTGTAGTTGGTGAAGTATCTAAAGATGCTGCTCTCAAGCAAATAATTATGTCATGTGGAAGAAAACTTCGTACAAAAGAAGAAGACCATGTGGAAGCTCCCATTCCTGTTGATCAACAGGTGGAATTGACACCAAAATTAAGAGGAAGAAAGCGAGGCAGAAATCAAGGAAAATCTGCCACACCTGAACAGAAAGACAAAAATATAGAAAAAACACAAGAAACATCTCCAACACCAGCCAAAAAGTTAAAGAAAATGGAGGAACAAGTCATTACTCCTCTTCCAGTTTCTAAGAAGGGTAGGAAGAAAAAGTTTGTATCTCTTGAAGGAAATAACCAAAAAGAAAAAGATTTTCAGAAAGATCAAAATATTTCAAACATTATTACCCAGACAACTGGAAGTGCTAAACAAGGGCAAAAGAAAGCTAACAACGAAGTTTATAAAACTGTAAATTTCAAAGGTTTAAACACAGATAATGATGAAACATTAAATAACAAAATAAATCATGCTCAGAAAACTAACACCAGGTCACGTAAAAGACGATTGGAAAACTCAATAGACATAAGTAAAAATGTTGAGGAACTTTCATCAGTTTCACCAAAAGCTGCAAGCAAACAGACTGTAAAAAGAGGGAAGAGTGCCCAAGCCAAATCAGACCTTATTTCTCCTCATTCTAAGAAAGGTAACAAGAGAATTCATCAGTCTCCTGAAGCAAAGGTGGAATTTGATAAAATTATGCAAAATGATAAGTCTGAGCCAACAGTTAGAAGAAGTGGCCAGAGGAAAAATCAAACTTTGCAAGCAGGAAAAAAAGTGAGACAATTAAAAGCTGTTTCAGAAGAAGTTCCTGCAAGAAAGACTAGAGATAGAAGAGTATATGAGTCCACAGAAAGCCCTAACGTTGCTAATAAGGACAATTCCACAATTTCTCCAGAAACGAAAATTGTATCAAAAACAAGGAGCAGTAGGGTTGGTCGGAAGCAAGTAGCACAGAAAAATGTGGAAGTTGATGCTGAAAAGATCACTGTAAAGTGTGATAATATCCCAAATACAAAAGGAAATGAGTCTCAGATAACAAGCATTAAACAGGAACAAGAAATGAGTACACAACAAAAGAAAACAGTTATAGGAAGGAGAAAAATTGTGACTGTAAATGAAAAAAGTGAAATTCCAGTTAAAAGTGCAAAAGGACAGAATGAAGGAAGAGGCAAGAAAATACAAGAACCATCTTCATCTGGAAAGGAAAAACATCCACAGCCTGACCTTGGCATCATGAACACCACTGATGTACAGATACCTTTAGTGAAAGGTAGGTATTTGATGTCAGTCATATGAAACGTACAAACTTTTAAAAGATGTTACATTAGTAAATTGAATCTTATGTCCTATAATATTAATCAGTTAGTTTTTGTTTGAATGATTACCATTTATCTTGTAGAAATAATATATTTATGAATGAAATATTAAAATATTTATTTACAGAAATTATATTTTTTATTTTATTACAAGTTACAGCATTTACAGTAATTGAGATAGGTATGAGTTTCAGTTACCAGGGTGATCATTTTCAGCTACACAAGAATGAATGTACCAGTGATTGAAACAGCATATCTATTTTTAAAATATTCTTCCTTACTTTAAAATCTGTAACTTGTTAGAAAGTAATACTTATAATCAGTAAGTAAACTCGCAATGAAACTAGAAATTGAATTTAGTTTCATATTACAAAACCTCTAATGTGTGAATATATATATATATATATATATATATATATATATATATGCTATAGCATAACTGTTAGTTAGTTGGACGTAGGTTACTGATACTTTAGGTTTTAATTTAATTTACTTAAAGTATAAAGAATAA